CTTCTTCGTCTTCGTCTTCTTTTTATTCTTCTATTTCTTCTTCCTCTTATACTACTACTTCTTCATCTCCCTCTTTTACTTCTTCTTCTCCTTCTACTTTTACTTCTTCTCCTTCTACTTCTACTTCCTATTCTTCTTCGTTTTCCTCTTTCTGTTCCTCTTCGTCTTCGTCTTCGTCTTCGTCTTCCTCTTCTTCTTTTTCTTCTCCTTCTTCTACTTCTACTTCGTCTTCATCCCCTTCTACTTTTACTTCTTCTACCTCTTCTTCTTCTTCTACTTTTAACACTTCTTCTCCTTCTTCTATTTTTTCTTCTTATTCTACTTATTCTTCGTCGTCTTCTTCTTCTACTAATACTTCTTCCTCTACTTCTACTTCGTCTTCTTCTTCTTCTTCTTGTACTACTTCTTCTTCTCCTTCTTCTATTTCTACTTCCTATTCTTCTTCGTCTTCGTCTTCGTCTTCGTCTTCCTCTTCCTCTTCCTCTTCGTCTTCGTCTTCGTGTTCGTCTTCGTCTTCCTCTTCTTCTTATTCTTCTCCTACTTCTACTTCTACATTTTTTTCGTCTTCTACTTCTAATTTTTCTTCTTCTTCTTCTTTTTTCTTCTTCTTCTTCTCCTCCTCCTTCTTTTTATTGTCCTTCTTCTAGTTTTTCTTCGTCTTCTTCCTCTTCTACTTTTACTTCTTCTACCTCTTCTTTTTCTGCTTCTACTTCTTCGTCTTTCGGCTGTCTTGCGTCCTCTTTCCTTCACGTCAGCAACATCCATCCGCCGATGTCTCTTTTCTTATGCCTTTCCACTACCAGATCCGTCAGCATCCAGTTCGTCTCACCAGTTCATACGTCTTCTACTATTGGCATCCGACCTCCCTCCCTTAAGTCGTCTGAAGAAAGATTTGCTCATTGCTTCGGCACATTCCACGCTTCCTCATCAAACCGCTCATGATGACTGTCTCTGGACGTGCCAGGCTCATTGTGGGTGTGTCCATTTGCAGTTGCATTTGCATTTGGCCATTTGGGCTCTTGTGGAGATCTCATCAAAACTAAACAGTGACTGTCGTTCACATTTCCCAATCACATTCACAATCACATTCACAATCACATTCACAATCACATTCACAATCACATTCACAATCACATT